AATTTTGCTTCGAGATTTTGTAATTTCATCGAGGGAGGATGACAATTCTAATAAACTACCTTAAGTATTAATTTTGCTAAGTGAGCAAATACAATAACTAAGCGAATCGTCACGGAACTTCGGTTATGTAATTACGTTATTCAAGTTCCTTTTGTTATAATTGGATAATTATGAGCCTTAAATAGGCCTTACATATGTTAAGACGTTGGTTATTATATAAATATGCTTTAGAATGTTAAAATTCATAGGTTAAGTTTCATTTTCTGAATTTCAAGTCTTGAAATCTAGTTTTCTCTCTACCCATCTCTCTTTCCTGCACTTTTTCATGGCTTAGCTTCTAAATCCAAATCTTGAGAATCTTGTATGAATTGTTCTTTGAAGTACATCAATTCAAGATGTTTTGGATCAAATTTAGCTTCTCTTTCTTTATTGTTTCCATTTAATTTTTTTCTTCACTGTTTTTTAACTTTATGATCACATGTTAGTTCATTTTTGTGGTTGATTCACCAATTAAAACTTGTTTTCTATAGTTTAGATTTGATTCTTAATTATTCTAACTAACTATAATCAATTATTATCAACATAACTAGGATTATTTGATTGAATGTCTTATTTTGTATCATAATTCAATTTATAAATTTTAGTTATTACTTGATTTAAGAATTGAGTTGTGTTTCAATTCAATTAGATTATAATTATTTAAAATTTGTATGCATTTGTTTTGTGATTACAAACAAGTCTAGAAATCAATGAAAATTATATGCACAAGTTAGATAATCCACCTATGTTTTCCATCGTTTTTCCTTACTAATTTTTAGTGCATAATTCATGTTACAATTATGTTTTGAAGTTTAAATTCATGTTTGATATTTTTTTTATTGTTTTTCAATCTTTAAATATTTTCCTATGACTTAGATTTACTGCTTTCATTTAGTACACTTCATTTACAAAGCTTTACTTTACATTTTTTGCACTTTAATGTTTTGTTAAATGCTTTTCTAGGATAAATTTACTTTGATGCACTTTATTTCTTTCTTTACATGTTTTTATTTATTGCTTTTATAACATAGTTTACTCCTTTTCATGGATCATAAGTCATTGACTTTCTTTTATTGCTTTTACATAAAAAAAAAACTCTTCAAATCTCCTTTATCTTTTGATAAGTGAAAATTATACTTTACACAATAATGATAAATTCTTTTTAAAGACATGATCTAAGTCAACCCTAGAATTGCAAATCTGATCGCATCTGATCATATTTAGACGATTAGATGTGCATTGATTAATACTCTAAAAAGAAAAGTTGTCTTGAGTGAGATTTTCATCTTTCGAGTTTGTGTTGATATGATGTTTAAAAAGTTGCATCAATTGAGTATAGACATAATAAGACTAACTTTAGTGGTTATTATCATTAGACAAATATGTATAGTCCTTGAAATGGATCGGGTGAGTCTAATAGTAAATGGTCATCTAATATAAAATAATACATTCTAGAAGTATTGACCAAATTGCTACATGTTATTTGGTGTATGCCTTAACAACTTAGGATTAGACATGACAATAAGGTGGGACGAGAGCGAGTTTTACCTCCTCAAACCTGTACCTAACTTTCATAATCTTCCCCGTCCTTGCCTCTAAACTCCACTGAGTTTAAAAATTTAGTTTTCTTTTCTATTGAATTTTTGGTTTGTTGCTCTTAACTTGTCGTGTTCCATGTTATTTCTATATAATTGTACATAAATGGTAATAAATTAATATTAATGTTATTAACTTTTTTTTATGTATTATTTTTAGACATAAATAAATATTTATAATTTTATAATTTTAAAATTATTATCGTTGATTGAATATATATTTTAATTTGTTACATTTGTATTAAAATATGTTTATAAAAAATATTTGAATTTTTTTCGTAGATATAAAATATTTGTAATATTATTATTATTATTATTATTATTATTATTATTATTATTATATTATATTCATGATTATATATATATAAGTTTTTTTTTTAGTTTTTTATTTTAAAATATTGATAAATATGAAACATATAATTTATATAAAAATTATTTAATAATTTAATTCTTATTGAATTAGTGAAAATAATAAAAACTTAAAGTATTAATTATTTAAAGTTGTAATATAATTATTTAATTAACATAATATTTAATATATGGGAAATAAGAATAATAGAATTCATAAATTATAATATAATGAAACTTAATAAAGGCAAATTAGAGATAAAATGATATTAGATCCCACTAAATTCAATGTACAATATTTGCAAAATGATAAAAAACAAAAGTTCACCGTGCTAAATTGGTTAAAGAGAGTAAGGAAGATAAACTCGTTGAAAAGAGATTAAAAAAATGTGAAGAATTAAAAAGTGAGAAAAAATATAATACATTAAATTGGTTGAAAATAGATTGAGAAAGACAAAAAGAGGAAAGAAGGGGTAGAAAAAAGTGAAAAAAAGTGGAAGAGTGTTATATTTAGTATGAAAAGTGATTGTCTACTTGTAATGAATTAGGTAAATAGATTATTTTAAATTTAAATCATTAAAAATTAGATGATAAGTTAACTATGAGACTGAAATTGTCAAATGTTTAAACTTGTAGATGAAAATCGAACAATTAAATCAGTTCGACCAACAATTTTCATATTTTTAGATATATATAAACCAAAATTAAATCATTAAAATTAAAAGGACCAAAAATCATACTTGCAATAGATAGGAATTTGCTTTGAATGGGGTTAGAAAGGGAAAGTTTTCAACCCAAAACAATGAAATTTATTCATGTGTCGGGGCTCAATACTCTTTGGAAATGCTAAGTGAACACATGTAAAAAGGTTAGGTAAAATGACTAAAATACCTTTTTACTAATTTTTGTTGGAAATCTTGAAAAACTTCTTGAGTTTTTTATTCCTTTAAACCCCTATATCTTCTATACATCTCTATAATTCCTCATCTTTATTTTGTTGTGCTTTCACCTTTATTGAAGATTGTTTTTAACTCATAAAATTAGAAAATTGTTAATATTTTATACTTATTATAAAATATTCATCTCAATATCCATAAAAATTAGACTAGAGGTGTACACAAAAATCTAGACTACTCAATCTGAAATATATTTTTGTACATTTTTGGACAAAAAGTGAATTCTAGAATAATTAATCCGAAAATACATTTTATATTAATTGTTTCGAATGTATCTGTAAATTGAGTATTTTGGAAATATATTTCAGATTGAGTATTTTAGAAATGAGTTCTGGAATAGTGAATCTAAAATATATTTTCGAAATATTAAATCTAAAAATATATTTTATTAGTTGTTTTAGAATTATTTTTGGATTAAGTATTCTGAAAATATATTTTTTTAAAAATGAGTATTAGAATAACTAAATTAAAAGATATAGATGCAAGAGTAAAATGTGATTTATTTTAACTACTCAGATAAACAAAGAACCAGCCTATCAAAATTGTTTCATTGAAATGTAAGGCCTTCAAAGTAAATAAAGCTTTCTGTACTAAATTTCAGGTAGCATGATTAATGAAGTATCTTTCACCAACTTTTCAGAATGTAAACCCTAAAATGCAGAGTAATGTTAATTCTGAAATGGATGGCAACATTATTTCTACAAATATTGGGACCCAATTCTCTCATGGTGGTCAGCTTCTAATGGTTCCTCTGTTATTCTACATTGTTTATAGGCCCATGAAATATCTAATTAGGCTTTAAAAAGATTGTACATCTTTACAAATATTCTTGATTTGTTGATGTTTAGAAATCTGGATAACATAAAATAGAAAATAATGAACCAAAATTTGTAAACAAAAAGAGGAAAAATAGGAAGCCTGGCCTTATTTGATTGGGTATAAAATTTTCTCCAACCATTGCTACCCGTGAAGTAATTTAATTTTTTAATTTTCTAATAATAATTTTCGAGGTCATTTTTTAAAATTAAATTAAAAAAATTCAATAATTCTAATTTAAATTTTATTTTAAAATTAAATGAAAAAGTCTTTGAAAAAAGATTTTCATAATTTTATTGACAATGTAACTATTGACAAATAATTGAATATTATTAATAAAAATGGAAAATATATTTTTAGAATGAATATATAGAATTATAAGACATAAAAGACAAAGAAATTATATTTTGATGATGTAGTATATTTTATAAAAAATCATAATAATTTCTTTTGAATAAAATGTTATATATTATATTTTCCCAATAAAAGAATCTCTAGATCCACAAAATTGTTGACACGTTTTTACTTGCCCAAATTTTGGCACACCCTCTTGGATGTGAATCAATGGAGCTGGATGAAAGAAATAAAATCTTATCCATATTTAGATATTTAAGGAAAAATGTGGGAAGAAGGAAGATAAATAAAGTAGTGAGCTTCATAGATGAAACAAGAGCTTGGATAATGACACGTTGTGCCATGGTAAAAGAAGTGCTAAAATGTACAATTCAACATCGTTTTCTAACAAAATGAATCTCTCTTATTGATTGAATAAGGTTGATATATTTGTTAAAATTCATTCAAGTTTAACTCAACAAGAGAATGTGTGTTAAAAAAGAGAGCTAAAAGAAATGTTTCTACCCTTTCTCAAGTTGAATAAGGTCTAACACAGCATGTTAGACTTTATATGTAGAATGTTAGAAGAGGTTATACAGTAGTGTTTTATGGCATTTTAACCCTTTCACCCACCAAAAACGAAAACATGATTATGAGTGAGGGCTAACTTGGTTGGTTGGACCCACCATGTTATTGCATTCCTAATGAAAACTGTATGTAGATGGATCTGATAGGTTAGAAAAGAATAGGTATCTGAAAAAATGATTACTAATTATAGTTATTTAATGTTCATCGAGGGTTGACCAGGGTTTAGCCATTATTCATCAGCAAAGTTGTATGCTGGAGTCGTACACTCTTGTTCCATCACTAGGTCTGCAAAATCAAGTAACAACACATAACTCATTCCACCAACATGAGACTCTCCCAGACACTGTTCAGATATAACTACAACCCTTTGACATGTCCAAAAATTAAGGGCACAGTGCAGTTTGTTGGAAATAGAACCCATCTTCTAACTAGTTATAAAACCATTGTAACTCCTTGGTTCATAACAAATGGATCCAATCCTCCTCTCACCTCGAACTTTGTACCCTGCAAAGCAATATCATTCCCTACCCCCTCAGCTGAGGGTGATGCAGAAATTGTTGACAACCCCACTAAGGATGAGGTTTCTGATGGAGTTTCCAAGGGGAAGAGCTTCTGGGGTGCCGTTGGTCTGATCGTTGGTACTGCTGTGGGCCCTGGAATGCTGGGTTTGCCTGCTTTGACCATTAAATCTGGCCCATTTCCTTCAACAATCGTAATTCTTGCCTCTTGGCTCTATGTCATTTCCTCAATCATGATTGTTGCTGAACTTTGCTTTGATTCCATGGAGGAAGATGGGGTTGAAGAGGTGAGCTTCACAAGCCTTGCAACGAAGACATTAGGAAGTGGTTTTGGTGCATTTGTTGCTTTGGTTTACTCCAGCTTGTCTTTTTCCTTGTTGGTGGCCTGCGTTGCTGGTATTGGATCCATTTTCTCTCCATGGTTTTCAGGGGTTAATGTTTTGCTAGTTCATGCCTTGTTTCCTATTCTTGTTGGAACATTGATTGCCTTTTTCCCATTTAAGACCATTGATGTTGCGAACCGGCTATTGTGCTTCCTTATGCTTTTCTCTATAACTGGACTTGTTGCTATTGGCATTTCTGTGGCAAGAGCTAACATAATAAGCTCATTTGCTTTAGCCTCTTGGAAACTTTCATCAATACTTCCTATTATACCAGTGGCTGTACTCACATTGGGGTTTCATGTCATCACTCCTTTTATATGCAAGGTTGCTGGGAATACTCTACATGAGGCTAGGAAAGCAATACTCATTGGTGGGGCAGTTCCTTTAGTCATGGTTTTGTCATGGAATTTGATTGTGTTGGGGCTTGTGGGGACTAATAGCACACCAGCCACTTCTGGTGACCCCATATCCCTTTTGCTTTCTGTGAATCCATCTGCTTTATCAGCAGTTCAAGGCTTTGCCTTCTCTGCTCTGGCAACTAGCTTGATAGGATATGCTGTAAGCTTGCCCAAACAGCTTCTTGACACTTTGGAGGTGGTATCTCGAAGGGCCACAGCTTCGAACGAGCATAATAGTAGTGGAAGTGTTGGATTTGCCTTTTACTCAGGAGGGTCTTGTGTTGGTAATTCAGGGAAGGTTAGCTTCAAAGGTTCAAGAAATGAGACTATGGTTGGATCTAAAGTGAGATCAAATGAGCAAACATCTAATACAATTAAAGTCCTTGTGACACTCTCCCTCCTTGGTTTCTCAGTGCTGATAGCTTCATTTTTTCGCTCTACATTTTCAAGAGCCCTTGATTTTGCTGGGGTCTATGCCAATTGCTTTCTGTTTGGCATCATTCCTCCTGTGATGGCTTACATCCAACAATCCAAGAAGAAAATCAGGTATGTCAAACTAGTAACCGTCTCACATAAGCATTCTAAAGAAAGCCAAGCTATATTTGTGTACTTACATAGAAGTAGTAGGTTCTATATTCCTAAGCTTTAAAGATACATATAATTGTGTAGGCAATATGCAATATATTATTATGGTTGATCCCTAAACTTGTTCTGGAGCATGGTGGTTATCCTAGATACCAGCAAGTTTAATTTTAGCATAATGTGATTCATACCCTGCGTAAAATAAAGACTATATAGTATTCTATTATCATAAGTGTTGCATATTTACCTGATATGTAGTTTCTGGCTCTAACCAATTGGTATCTCCTTTTTCTCTGTTATACAATTATGTAGTGTGATCCCCCTAACTGTGTTATGTGATTTTCGATATTTTAGTTTTTTGTAAGCCTTATTGGAGAACTAATTAATAACCCTTTTACTCAATTTATATTGTTTTTCCAATGCTTCAGTACGAAAAGACTTTGATCATTGGCATCTAACTGTAATGCTATGATTTTGCAGGAAATCAATCATTCCAGGTGGAAATGGGACACTTCTACTGCTTTTCGTTATCTCTGTGATTTTGGGAATTTGGCATTAGAGATTCTTGCATTGTCTCAACTTACAAAGTTGCCCAAAAAGGTAATTGGCATACTAGACCAAGGTAGCTGAAACCACTTCTGTTTTCAGACATAAAATAGTTCATGTTGAGTAAAGGGTGTAATGATATCTGATTATTAATTGAAAATATTCTAGTTGCAATCCAATGAAACAATACAAAATGACAAAATCTAGTAAGTTGGAATATAGAAAAATACCGTCAAATGAAACACATGTCATCGGCACAAATTAGACTTTAGTGACTGATCTCAACATTGGTGAAGTCTCGAGACCATTTCATTAAAAAACATAATCTTTATCCTTTATTAATGTTTTTGCATCCTGGATGTGCTCGACCTCTTTTTCTTCCCGCCTCCGGTCATTTTCCTTTTTCAATGCCATTATCTCTTCCGAGTTTTCCTTTTTGAAGTTCTCGAGCTCCCTTCTTAGCTCGGTCAGGAGGGTAGCTTCACTGGTAGGGTTTTCCCTCACCGCCTTTACCTGTGAATTTTGCCTTTACCTGTAAAGATGATTAATCATATTATCTTTGAGTATGAGTTTGCAAGGAGAGATTTGAGTTTCTCTCAAGTTAAATTATTCAAGCCACGTAAATATTCAACTCGCTCACCGAATTCCAAATGCAGAGTACAAAAGAGACAAAAACAAATAAAAACTATGTTAACCAATTGTTGAATATAGCGAATAAATCAGGGAAAACTTTACCAATAAATTAATAGTCAAAAAAATTGTTATTATACTTGAAAAATATGAATTGAAGACTTTTTCGGCACGGATTAAAGAAACTTTGTTCATTTATCAAGATTCTACTCTTTCTTTAATTCATTTATAATATGTATTTCGAAAATTCTTATTACTCAATTTTTATCTCTAACCACATGTTTCATGAACTGAGACTCTCAACTTTATTTATCACGAAAATAAGGTACACAAATGTCTATACCAAATCATTACATTCTAGGTTGATTTTTATAGGAATTTCTAGTAATATTTTAATAAAGAATTTTTGAAAATTGAATATTATTAACTCTCTCATATTTTAAACGACGAATATAATGACTTATTTAACTTGTGTCGAACGTCTAATCATAATTAGGAATTAAAATAATAACCACTTAGAATATCATTAACCTAAAAAATGTTCAACAGTTATAAAACGTTCCAATTAATAATTTTATCTAACAAAACCTTCCGTAAAATAATTATCCGCATTCAAAAAAACTTGAGATCGGCATGATTCCGACCTCTTAACTTTTGACTCATTTAGTCGATTGTCTTCTTCTTTCCGATACTCTTTCTATCCTTTACCTTGATTAGTCTCTTGCAATTATCGAATAATACAGTAGGAAGTAGTTTTGTGAAAATATCAGCAACTTGATCTCGACTCACCACATGTACGAGCTCCACATTCCCTTCCTTCACATGTTCTTGGATGAAGTGAAAATGCACATCAATGTGTTTGCTTCTTTTATGATTGATAGAATTTTTAGCCAGTTCAATGACCAACTTGTTATCAACTCAAATTACGGTTGCACCATGTTGTTTCTCCTCCACCGACAGTGGCGAATCTTGACCATTGATTTTGGGTGAGCCAAATAATATATTATTAATAAATAATAAATAAATATAAAAGAATAAAAGAAGATGAAGTGGTGAGAGGACAAAATTGTAAATATATAAACAAATATATTAAATGATCATTAAGTTTGGAAGCCAAAATCATAAATTATATTGGCATTTTGGGGGGGGCCATGGACCCCCTCAGTTTCGAAGAAGATCCGCCACTGTCCACCGAGCTTAGCAAATTTTTGAGTCACACTACATGATACACATTCTACGATGCTATTACGTACTCGGTTTCACACGTTGATAACATTACTACAGGTTACCCAGATGTACTTTTCCGATCATCCACATCTCTATACTAGTTATTGTTCGAGTATTCGACAAGTCGATAATTGCTTCTCTCATGAGTGATGACGTGTTGTATCCTTGGGCTAAATCTTAAATTTTGCATGAAACATATAGGTATACTTCCTCGAAACTTTTGAAAAATCTACAAAATAATCAATCCTTGAGCCACTTTGGCAATGAGAAGGATTAAATCTTACAACTGCGTGACCCTGCTGAGCCTGTATGTAGGGATCAAGAAGGGGATCCCAAACCATTCTTCTTTTTGTATGACATTGTTTATTAAAATAAGTTTGCACCTTTCTTTTAGTTTTTTCGTAAAAGAAGTGTTGACCGTGTTGAATGTTACTGCAACCCAACTTCATCCAAATAGTTGGGCATTTATCTAGGCGTTTGATATTCTCTCCGCCCATTTTGGCATCGTTTCTTCGTCAAATATTTTTTTTTTACTTTTTTTATTGTCGGACAACCAGAGGACCTCTTGGGTTTCTGTTAGCGGAGTGCCAAGCCGAAGGCTCTTTTCCTTGTTTCAATTATCTTATAAACATTTCAAGAGTGAGTTTGTGAAATCCGAGCTCCTAGGTCAAACCCCACTTTGGTGGAGGGTTTTCTCCTCTATTGGAAGACCAACCCTCGTTTCCAAGCTGCCAAGCAACTAGGTGAGCTGGAAAAAGATGAAATTGAACATCGTGTGATGCTTGAGCGACTCAATACCATGTTCGACACGTCCACACTTCTTAAATTAGAGTTTTGGGCTATAAACTTAAAAGTGTATATAGGTAACCTCTTTTTTTCGAATGTTATTTTATTTGTTCATTGAGTCTTGTATGCTTTTTAATACTGTCTTTGACTTTGCAGAAAGGCAAATGGTCCTGTCAAAGAAGGAGATGAGTCGTCGTCTGCGCGAGGCTATGTCTACCGAGAAATCAACCACGAAGCTGAGTACAACTGGGGAGTCATCTATACCTCCCCGAGTGGAGGATATCGACTCGGGCTTTGAGAGGATTGAGTGTGAAACCCGTCTAACCCAAAAGTGGAAGGTAGTCCTAGTGGTCGAAACTGTTGTGGCGACCTTGGTCCCCGAGCCCTCTGTCAAGAGGTGTGGTGGTGCACTGGGTGAAATGTTATCAAAGGCTCCCTCTTATGAGCGGGGGAGAAATAGTTGTAACCCTGCAATCACTATTGTTTACAACCGACACCATTGTTACTCAAAACGAAAGGAAGGCTCGTGAGGCCGAGTCGACTATAGAGGGTAGGAAAATTGAAGAGGAGCATTAGCTTCACCCTTTGGAGAAATTGGAGGAATGTGTAAAAGTTCACGCAATAACTACGGAGTTACTGCAAAAAATGGAAGAAGGCGCACAAAGTTCTTCGTCACAACGACGCCTTGGAACTCGGTTACATGGAGGAGAAAATTAACGCCTCGGCAAAGGAAATGCTGGATCTTCAGCAAGCCAAGGATGTCGCCAAGACTGAAATTGCTAAAATGTATGCAATAGGCTTCTCAGGTGCTATGGAGGAAGTGGTGGTCCTCTTTCCTGATGTTAATGTGTCTATTATGAGTCCGTTTAAGAGCGTGGTGGACGATAAAATAATCAACGAGGAAGACGATTAGCACTTGTGCTTCCCTTTTTGTGTTATTTATATTTGTTGCACGTGTGTTTTTATTGAATGTGCACATGTGTTTTTATTTTATATCAAATTCTTAATGTTTGATGCAATAATGGAATTCTCGACATTTGTGCGTGTTGTTATGTTGTGTTTGTATCGTGTGTAAATATATTGTAGTTGATATAAACTAACCTCACAAGATCATTATGTAGATCAATCTCACAGGATCGCCGTGTAGACCAACTTTACAAGATTACTATCTAGACCAATCTCACATGTTGCTATGTATTATTATTTTTTAAATTAATGTGATAATAAATTGAAACTGTAAATATCTTAATTAATTATACATAATGCCTTTATAATATGTTTTTTTATTGGATTTGTTTTGTTCAATTAAAAAAAATAATCAAATCAAACCAAAGTGCATTTAAATTTTATGTCTAGTTTGAGTGACTTTTTAATACAAAATTGAACATGTGAATATTCCTAGTTGAAATGCCTACCCAAAATTTATCCTTTAAGAAACAAGAAACTCATATTTCTTGTTCATTGAATAAGGAGTCAAGTACTCATTGTCAAGTAATTTATATTTTTCAACAAATGCATTCTTGTAACAAACTCAGTCGTTGTAAGAGACTAATAAACTATTGTTAACATTGCATATTTGATGTTTTGTTGCTTTTTATATCCTTCAAGCTTCTTATATATCTTTTTCATAATATGTCATAAGCATCACCTATGATGAATAGTAGGAAACGTGATTTCAATTGCCTTTGTCACGAACAAACATTGGTTTGTGACAAATCTTTGAGAAAACCTAGATGAAATGCACCACATTTATGCCTAAAACAATCAAATAAAAG